TCCTAAGGTGTTTTATGACTTCAGTGACAGGCAATCTATACTATTTTGCAACCAATAAATGCTTGAAATATGAATGATAAATATGATTGCTGTTGTTAAGTGCCATTGAGTTGGTTCTGACACATAGCAACTCTGCATAAGGTTTCTGAGTTGTGGTTGGTGAGTGTGAAGCACCCACCTTGCAGTTCAAACCTACTTTTCAATCCAGTGCTTATCCAACAATGCCACAAACTGATGCAGAGCTAGAGGTGCTCACTTGTCTATGCCAAGAAATTTGGCTATCTGGCCAGCTAATTCAAAGAGATCTATACCTGTGCTCATTCCAAAGAAAGGAGATCCAATGGAATATGAAAATAACCCAACAATATCATTAATAACACATGCAAGTAAAATTTTGCTGAAGATAATTTAAAGATTATTGCAGCAGTATATAGACAAGAAGCTGCCAGACATTCAAACTTAATTAAGAAGAGGACATAAAGACATAGAACTATGGATGTCATCACTGTTGATGTCAGATGGATCTTGGCTGAACGCAGAAAACACCAGAAAGATATTTACTTGTGTTTTCTTGACTATGCAAAGGCATATGACTGATTTTAAACCATTCAATGTCCTCAAATTCTGTACGAACCACTGTGTCTTAGCCTATGAACATAGTTAAGTGTTCTGGAATATCCATTCTTCACAATGTTATCCATAGTTTGCTATGATCCATACAGTCAAATGCCTTTGCATAGTCAAAAAAAAACATAAGGAAACATCTTTCTGGTATTTTTCTTTCATCCAAGATCCACCTGACATCAACAATGATATCCATAGTTCTCCAGCTGCTCCTCAGAAACCCTATACAGGGTCTCTATGAGTCAGAAGTGACTCGACAGTACTTCACAACAACAACAAATGTGCTTATGTCCTCTTCTTAATCAAGTTTAAATGTCTGGCAGCTCCTTATCTATATACTGATGCAACAGTCTTTAAATTACCTTCAGCACAATTTTACTTGCTGGTGATATTAATGGTATTGTGTGGATTGTTTTCATATTCCATTGGATCTCCTTTCTTTGGAATGAGCACCGATATGGATCTCTTCCAATCAGTTGGCCAGGTAGCTAGCTGTCTTCCAATTTTCTTGGCATAGACAAGTGAGCACCTCCAGCGCTGCATCAGTTTGTTGACACGTTTCAATTTGTATTTGGTCAATTCCAGGAGCCTTGTTTTTTAACCAATGCCTTCAATACGATTTGGACTTCTCCCTTCAATACCATTGGTTTTTGATCATTTGCTATCTCTT